GAGAAACGTGCTACTGAAGCAGCGGGGTAGCAGCAGTATCCGTATCATCGACTTTGGTTCCTCGTGTTACGTGCACCAGCGGGTCTACACCTACATCCAGAGTCGCTTCTACCGCTCCCCGGAGGTCATCCTGGGCCTTCCCTACGGCCTACCCATCGATATGTGGAGCTTAGGTGGGTAGTTGGCCAGGTTTAGAGTCTCGGTGGGTACATGCAGAGCATTGGTGTTGTGTTAATTAGCGTTAGCAGACACAATACACAGTTTTAAGAGCAGATATACAAGGTATACGTATAAGTAGTTGAGATCCTGGGCCAGGAGCCGAAGCTAGCCGAGTACAGGCGCGATGCTGATGGGAGAAAATGTATTACTTTTTGTATCAATATGTTTTACTTATGCATTATGAAGCTAGTGGGAGCCTCCTAGAGCTGGAGCTGCTGAGAATACCACCACTAACCCGAGAATTATCTTAGGATAGAGTGTTCAACTCATGACCGAGAGGACCTGTGGATGTTTTTTATAATTTTCCTAAATTCAGCATGTGTAAATATGAATAATATAATAATTGCTTATTACAATGTGATGTTGATTTGACCCTTCAAGAAATTTTTGTGTGAAGGAGGGTGTGCAGCGGCTGCGGAGTGATACAAGGGAAGGGAAGACGCCATAGTGAATTAATAATAACAAAAAAGGAACAATACCATGACTGGAACGATACACAAATAACCCGAACATAGGAGAGAGGAGCTTACCACGACGTTTCGGTCCGACCTGGACCATTTACAAAGTCACACTAACGTGAGTGTGACTTTGTAAATGGTCCAAGTCGGACCGAAACGTCCTCGTAAACTCCTCTTTCCTATGTGCGGGTTATTTGAACTAATAATAATAATAATAATAATAATAATAATAATGTAATATCTTTATTTCTACAAGTACATATACATGGTATACAGTCCTAGCTGACATCAGTGACATACTAATATATAGAAAGCTGTTTATTGTGCAGACCATTTTGGGCAAATTAGGTCAATTTTGTCTCAGGATGCGACCCACACCAGGCGATTAACACCCAGTTACCCATTTTATACTGCTAGGTGAACAGGGACATAAGGTGTCGTATGGAAATGCATCCCTAATGCTTTCCAGCCGAGTGTGCTAGCAATTGAGCTATTGGAACACTGGTTGGTTAGTGGAGGCGAGTAATCAGGCGTCATCGAGGCCATAATTGAATGGATCGGCCTCAAACTATAAGTAATAAGTACCGGAATGTTCCCTGCTGAAGAATAGGGACAGAGAATTTGAGGGGCCTCCAGAATTAGGTGGTGATAATGGAAATAATGAGGCGCCGCCATGCAACACATCCAGTATGTACACCATTAGTCTTTTCATTTAGATTTCTCACTGGCTAGTGTAGGTTTCTATGTTAGGTTGGCATTGTGGTGTGATCCAACTACAGTAATTAAATAGTAAGTGGTAATGCGAATTACTTTCCTAATAACACTATTGTATTATATGTATTGTACAATAATTATATTCTGTGTATCCAGCAAGCCAAATAATATACAGTTTAATATTGTAAATTATTAATTTAATCAGGTCAAGCTTTTTTGTGATAGTGGTGGATGAGTGAGCATCGAAGGAGTGACCTACTGTGACTAAGTCCCACTTACGTCACCCAAATTATTTGCACGCAATAATTCAGGTAATATCCTGTACACCTCATGCAGGTAATTTCTCAAAGGACCTGTGTTTGAACTCTCGCGAGACGTTCGGACTTTTGTTGTGTTTCAATTTGTCGAACCCTAGACGGGGCGAAACGTTGGCGTGGTAGCTGATTCTGCTCCTGTGTGTTTTCTTCGTTATTCTTTACACCCGCTGCACCTTTTTCATCTGACAGCAAATAGAAATGCGGGTGTTAATCGACTGCTGTGGGTCGCAGCCTGGGGAAGAGAACCTGAGAGCCACAACAGACATAAGCCACACTACATGACTTGCCCCCCGGGTTATTAATCCTCCAGTGATTAAACACGTGAAGAAAGCCTTCCTCAACTTTATTCAAACTCTATTTGCACGTTTCGCCCTTTGGCACAATTCCAGAGCTCTTCTTTTCCTGTTTTTTAAACATTTAAGACGACAGGTAAACTTAACTTCTCTGACCTTCAGTACACACTTAGCTGTTTTTTTTTTTTTTTTTTTTTGGCGGTAATATTTCTCGCCCGACTGAGAGACCTGGTATGAGACTGAGATGCCAGGGATGAGGTAAGGGTGGAGGGGAATGATCCCCAAAACCATTGACAGTTGACCTCTGATGTTTTTTGTGCCGATTTCCAGTCTTCATGCGTACCATCTCTTCATCCCTTTTGACCTCCAGTTCTTCAAGAGTCGTCTGTGGAGTTAATAATATTAATAATAATAATAATAATAATAATAATAATAATAATAATGTGTGTTTGTCGCAGGTTAACGTGTTTCTTGCGAGTTGTTGGTAAATGTGTGTTTGTTGCAGGGTGTTGGTAACAGTGTGTCTGTTACAGGTTGTTGGTAACAGTGTGTCTTTTAAACGGGTTGTGGTAACAGTGTGTCTGTTACAGGTTGTTGGTAACAGTGTGTCTGTTACAGGTTTGTTGGTAACAGTGTGTCTTTTAAACGGGTTGTTGGTAATAGTGTGTCTGTTACAGGTTGTTGGTAACAGTGTGTTTGTTACAGGTTGTTGGTAACAGTGTGTTTGTTACAGGTTGCATCCTGGCGGAGCTGTACACAGGCTACCCACTCTTCCCCGGAGAGAACGAGGTGGAGCAGCTGGCCTGCATCATGGAGGTCCTCTCACTGCCCCACCCCACCTCCTCATTGCTGCCTCCAGGCGCAGGCTCTTCTTCGGTACGTCACTAAGACACTGCGCTCTCTGTCTTCAAATTGGGTAAATTTAGTTTTAGAGTGGACGTGGGGAAAGGGCTTGGCAGTTTGTGTTGTAGGTGAGTGGAATAAATTCCAGGTAGCCTCAATTAGGTAAAAAAACTTTGAGTGCTTTAAATATAGGTCGAATGGGTCTGAGATAGGCCTTTTGGCATTGGCCAATAGGCCTATAATATTTCCTTGGCAATTAGTGAGAGTTGATTCTCGGGCTTTAAATTTGTATATCTTACACACCTTACAAAACCTGTTTATTCCACGGAATAAATAGTTATTTCTTGTGCAAAATTGTTTTTTCTGGGAGATATTAGCAAAAATAATATCTTTATTTTGGCTGGAATACTGTTGAGGGTCATTGAAGGTTATCAATTGAATCAGCCCCACGGACGAGCCTAATCAATCACAGCGAGTGTAAACACGGTCCCCACCTCAGTTTCTGCTAATAAAGGAATAAATTAAGTTTGTTTAAAGGTAGGTTACTGTAGGCTTTCTCCCTGTTTCACAATATACAACTGTCTCATGGGAGAACGTGAGACAGTGGTAGATATTTCGTCTATAGATAGACTTCTTCAGTCAGTACACAAGGAGTTCAACTAGCAAATTTATGTTGAAAATAGTAAAAAAATACTGACAAGTTGATGATTAAGACACATATTCAATAATTGGATGTATTTATTGTTGAAATTTTTCGCCTACGCAGTAGGCTTCTTACAGTTAAATATAGAGGCAGCAGGTGTAGTAGTGAAATGAAGATGTTATCAGTCCATAGAAAATAGTATTTGAGGTGGTCAGTCCCCAGCCTGGAGAAGAGTTCAGCTTCACAGTCTGGAACACAATATTTATACCAGTGCAGTGAGGTGAGTGGCCGGTCCAGTGCTTCCATTTCGCAATTCATCTCACAGAGTGACCTCGCTGACCCGGCCATGCAATGGCTACACTGGTATAAATTTGCTTGTTGTACATCACTGTATATTGACTGAAGAAGCCTGTCTTCAGGCGAGATATGTCAATCCTCTTCTGCAAGTTTACCTTTTTTCACCATAAGTTTGCTTTGCCTCATGTTTCTATTTATGGCAAAATATTGATCATAAACTAAAAAAATCACCAAAATTCGCCGTGGAGTAATATGCAGTTATTACCCTTTTTCTTTATTTAGCAAAAATTGTATATATCAGCAGTGTGCAACTATATTCCGTGACAAAAGTTACGCAGTGGGAAAAATAAGCCAGAACTGAGAGGCTTCAGCGGACATAGAATATATCGTCAAGTAAGTTTATTCAGGTATACACAAATACAGTTACATACAATTATTATATATTGCAGCATATGTGTGAGAACCTAGGAAAAACTCGAAAAAGTCAAAGTGACTTATTTCCACTGGGTCCTTGAACCATTAAAAGGTCACTGCTACGGCAGCTTCAATGGTCTCGGTCAGGCAGAGCTGGAGTTACTATTACATGGGAATTACCAAGCGCATTCAGCATGAAAATGTGTGGAAGCTCATTACAACCAGACTTGGCTGAGAACTAAGGGATAGATCAAGAACAAAAAGGGACAAAACCTTAAATGGAACTATGTCTTCAACTGTATATAAAATGTCTTTTTCCACATCTTATCAGTATCGCCATATTATTTCTCCACACAATATACAAATAACAAAGCACATAGGAGAAATAAATTTATAACGACGTTCTAGGTACGACTTGGAACATTAACTGTGACCAGTTTTCGGTCGTCATAACTTTCTCCTATATGCGGGTTTTCTTTGTATTAACCAAGGATGTTCAAAATGAGGGAAAATTATATTAACTTGCAATGTATGGCGTTTATCAGAAATAATCTGCAATAACTAATTCATTGGGAAATGTACTGATGTGCAATTTCCATGCTGTAATATTCCATTGATGATCGCTATTGCCTACAAATTTTTATATATAATTTATCAGATTTTTGTACACTTGGTGCCCTAATGAGTTAAACTGATGTAGCGGGTATAGCAGTGGCCCGGTGGGTACAATAGTGGATAAAACAGTGGCCTGGTGGGTACAGTATGGAACAAAAGTGGCCCGGTGGGGACAGTGGAA